ACGCCTTGATTGTGTAATATTTATACCTACAAATTATATGGTAAATGTAAATTATTAAGCAAAATATTAAAGTGAACCCACCACCCATTCAAATAACTAGAAAATTATCAATTTTGTGGAAAATACTTGTGTACTTCCCACTGTCAAACTAGGTGTGCCATCTTATGGATCCTAAATGGTACTACCAAAATGGTATTATATCTGTTAGTGTCAGGAGATGGTTTTTGCACAGATTAAGAGAATACCTGTTTATATATATATGGAGCTTATTTCCAAAGGAGTTTATACAGCATTTTGAAATTTATTTTCTTTGATAATTCTTAATTTTAGCTCTCTAGGAAAGAATCCACAGAAATCTAAGAAGCCCCTCACCCCAATTTTCATTGTTTATTGACCCCAATAAATATTTTCTAGGCACCATTTTATTTTTTTTTGCTTTTGAAATTGTTTGGATCAAGAGACTGAGTCTTTGAAGTAACTGGGTGCAAGTGCTGGCAGGCATATTTATGAAAGCTGTGGTCAGCTGCTCACACATGATTGTGAAATACAACAGTCTTCCTTTTTCCTTTTTATATCGCTGGGAAGTGATGAGGATAGATGGTTTCCCATTGCAACTAGGATGTTTGGAATTCACTCTGTCCATCCCCTGCTGATGCACCTTAGCGTTATCTTTTGTCACACAAAGGATCCAATTCCACAGCACTTTGGTTCACAGTGAACATGGGGAGGTTAGATAGCAGGAAACATTTTTCAGCTATTTCAAAATTATAACTAAAATATTACAAATAAAAGATGAAGAAAAAAGATTCTGATTCTAAAGTAAATTATGGAATTTGTCTCTAATTAAACTTTGTTTTGTTCAAAACAGATCCAAATAGGATTGTTTTGCCTCCCGTCCCGCTAATACAATTGGAGACATTGAAGTATTCTAAGGATTGCTTTTGATGGGCATCCAGAAATTTTATCTGGGACAAAAATGGTAATTCTGTTTAAAGTTGTTGATTTCATGAAGCTTTAAACTGCAGTCTATTTCGCACTGATTTTCAATTTGCTTCAGTATTTGTGGAGGTTTTAATCCCTTTCAAGAGGAAATGTGATTATTATAGTAGAGGCATTATAGAAGACAGCATTTGGACATGGCTGACAGTGCAAGCATTTGCTGTAACTAATTTTCATCTGTATGGATACTTACAACTGAACCAAAAATATCACCTTATCAATCATAGAGGACTATAGGGGACTTGCGTCCAAATCATTTAACTTCCCAGGGCTCCCTTTTCTGCTGAATAGAAACGTAGGCTGAGATTACCTTCTTCCTGCTGCCTCCTGGAAGGTTAATGCATCTCATGATTTAATTATCAGATCTCCTTTCTTTAGAATTTTATCTCGGTTTGACTCTTGTTATTATTGACTTTAGGCAACAGTGTAAAGTATTATTTCCACATTGAGCCCAATCAGAAGATGGTGACCTCCATATTTTTCTGTTTATTTTGGTCATATATTTTAAGAGTTTTACAAATATTTAAAATTCTGGTCAAAACTTAAAGTATTCTTTTGTAGTCTGGCTCTAATAGTTTATTTAAAACATTTTTGAGAAAGCCTTTGGTTTTTACTTCTAGTTCAATTCATGTTTCAAAATGTCTATAATTCATCTACATTTGCTTTTACTCTGAAAATATGCTGAATATCCATTCTCTTTCCAGTAGAAAAACATTGTGATCAGAACCCAAGGGCAGGATTCTTCCCTTTTGGGTGGATACCAGCTACACATCCTCTCACTGTTCCCCAAGATACAGCTAGCTGAAGGAGAAATAGTTTCTTGTGTGCTGGTGCCTGTGAAGTGTTGGTGAAGCACTGTTAGAATTCCCCAGGGAGGGGTCTCGTGGACCCAGTTAAGCAGTAATCCGGAGGTTTCTGACCGTGGTAAACGGACCCTTAGTAAAACTATGACATGGTTTCCACCCATTCACCCTGGTTTCCGCTTTCTCCTCCCTGGTCTTCGAGTCATAGCTTCCATTCTCAGACATTCAGGGTCTTGATTTGGTATCCTCCACAGTACACCTTCTCCTAAAGCTCACTTTCTGGAAAAGATGAGTTATTAATATGCTAAAGTGAAATTTAGGTTAATGTCTTATCTCTCTCAGGGATATGCGCATTTCAAACGTTTCTTTTTTTTAAAAAAAATATGTTTTTATTGATTTTTTTAGAGAGGAAGGGAGAAGGGTAGAGAGATGGAAACCCATGAGAGAGAAACATCAATCGGCTGCCTCCTGCACGCCCCTTACTGGGGATTGAGTCCACAACCCGGGCACATAACTTGACTGGGAATCGAACCGAGGGTCTTTTGGTTTATGGGTTAATGCTCAACCTGTGTAACATCATATATGCATATTTAACGAAGAATTTTTACAAATAAAGAAAACGACTCCAATAAAATGGGTAAAAGTCATGATTAAGCAATTTATCAAAGAGGAAATACAAAGGATCACAAATATTTAAATATAAAGTAGTATATTTCTGGAGCTAATGTACAGCATGGTGACTATATTGTACAGATTTGTGCACATTGAAAGGAAATTAATTAGAAGGGGCGGGGTGGGACTGGGTAGGATGGGCTGGACATGCCCTGAAGCCAACCTCCCGGGGTCCCTCCCTGGCTGGCCGTACCTGGGGTTGTGCCATGGCTCGAAGGGCATCTGTGTAGTGAGCGGGGGTCCCTATAGCAGGTGGGGTTCCTTGGCCTTACCTGCAGGGATTGGGTTAAAACCTCCTCTCCGACATCTCCCGAGGGGTCCCAGATTGCGAGAGGGCCATTCTCGGGTGATGCACCCCAGAATTGGGCTCCCTCCTCTCTGGTTCTGGGGTGTGTCACCTGAGAACCACCACTGCCAAGTCACAGCAGCTCGGCAGTTCCTGCATTGAGCGTCTGCCCCCTGGTGGTCAGGGCATGTCAAAGCTACCGGTTGGACAGTTGCTTAGCCTTTATATATACTAGAGGCCCAGTGTACAAAATTTGTGCACGGGTGGGGTCCCTAGGCCTGGCTGGCAATCAGGGCCTCTAGTATATAGAGGGTGATTGGCAAGGGGGAGGGGAGGCCCACTGGGGTGATTGGCAGCGGGGAAGGGAGGCCTGCTGGCACCCACCTTGGCCAGCCTGGCGCCACCAGCTCATCAGCCCCGCCCCCTGCCACTGCCGGTTGCCTCTCTCTGTGGGACAACTGCTGGGGTGATCCGGGGCCTCCATTTGCACCTGCCTTGGGTCACCTGGGGCCTGTGGGCTGGGGGCAGCTCCTGCTTTGAGTGTCTGCCCCCTGGTGGTCAGTGCACCTGATAGTGACCGGTCGTTCCACTGTTCAGGCGATTTGCATATTAGGCTTTTATTATATAGAATAGACTAGAGACCTATCCTTAGCACTGCTGCAGAGGTGGGAGAGGCTCCCACCACTGCCACTGCACTCGCCAGCTATGAGCCTGGCTTCTGGCTGAGTGGCGCTCCCCCTGTGGGAGTGCACTGACCACCGGGGGGGCAGCTCCTGCGTTGAGCGCCTGCCCCCTGGTGGTCAGTGCACAGTATGGTGACCGGTCATTCTGCCATTTAGTCGATTTGCATATCAGCCTTTTATTATATAGGATACCTGGAAGTTGGCTTACCACACACGCAAATGGTAATTATGTGAGGGACTGGAGGTGTTAGCTAACCTTACTGTGGTAAACATTTCGTGATATCAAATCATCACATTGTATGCCTCAAACTTACACTGTTACATGTCAATTATCTTTCAATGAAGCAGAAAAAGAAATAGTCTATATAGTTCATCCTCTCTTGATTCCCAAGAACTCAGTGCTCTCATCTACTTAAAAGCAGAACTGCATCTTCTTGAGCTGTTAAGATTCACATTAGGCCCAGTCTTCTCCCAATAATATAACTTTGTATTTTCTGCTTCTCCTGGCCAGGTGCCAGAATAGGCCAACTCAGGGACACAAAGAGAACAATTATGACCCACTCAAAACCCTAGTTCAGCTAACTAGGGGATGGCAATGCAGAGGGTGGGAATGTTCAAGTAGTCATAATAAAAAGAGCAAAAACACCTTGAATGACTTCTCAGTAAGACGCTGTTTTCCCAACAGATTATGGGTGAGCTTTTTAAACTCTGTTAAATGTCAAACCAACTGATAGAGTCAAATGTTGGTAAGCTTTCAGAAGGGTTATTTCTTATCAAATAGAGAACCGTGTTGCGAAATCATTATCTGCAGTCTAAAACAGTTGGTAATCTTGGTAAGAACCTCAACTCAAAGGTCTTCTGAGTTTATTGTTTCCTTAACTTCCCTTCAGAAATGGGTAGCATGGAGGGAGACGTCACCATGGGATACCATGACTGGGAAGGTGAGTGACCCTAACTACTGCTAAAAAGGTGGGCTGGCTCATACAATGTAATACCAACTGCCAGAGCAGCTGAAAATTAGAAGAACGATTTGGTGCCAGCTCATGAAAAATCTTCGAGCATGATTTGTTCTGGTCCCCTTCTCAAACAAAGGAGCATGGAAGAAAAATACCCCTGCATTCCAAAGTGCCCCATCCAAGGACCCACACCTTGCCTGCCGTGAGGAGCCGCAGAGGAAGGAATTTACCCCGAGTGGAAAGTTCACTGACTACTTGAAAATTACTTGTTCCAAAGCCCTTCAGAAACCAGTAATCCTATTAGCGTGGCTTCTGGAACAGTTACCTACCTGCAGTAAAAAGTAATTAGAACTGTCAGCCAGCAAATAATTGCTCTGGTGCCTAAATGAATGGGGACTCTTCTCTGAAAGGAATTACTGTTCCTAAGTGAGTCAGCTCAGCCCATGGTCTTTGCTTTGGTTGCTGACAAATTGGGCCAACTGCCTGAACCAGTGAGGAAGGGTGAGAGGGGTGAGGGAGCTTTAAGTTGGAAACAAGGCAGGACAAGGGCTACCCCAAGTTTATCCAGCTGAAAGCCTTTCTTTTTTTTTTTTCTTTGAAGGGCATTTCTGAGCCACGCTAGCACTGAGCTACCTTCAAGCCTTTCCTGAAAGCATAGGCACCCAAGGCTGCTCGAAGGTCAAGGACTTGGCTGCTGGCTGCATCATAAGACCTCTGAATCTCCGGCCTTTTCCTCCCATTCTTTGCCAGTGCTCACTACATTTACAAGGGAGTCTGGAGGGCAGGAATCCCCACGCCCACAGCTGGGCAACAAGGTCAAGGGTGTCAAAGTAGGTCATTTCCAAAGGAAATCAATGGGAAGGGTTTGGCAAGGACAGGAGTCAGTTTGTGAAAGGGAAACATTCCAGTAAATTGGAGCAATGCCTTTCTAATAAATAACAAAAGTCTCCGATGCTTCTCAGGACTCCTAAAGGGACCTGCTTTCACCTGCTGAAAAGCCAGCTCTACTTAGCTAACGTCACTAACAGCTGGGAGAACTGCGGTACAGCGGCGCCTACTCTATAGGGAGAAGATCAGAGTTCTGGCCCAGCCACACCATAACCAGGTGCACAGTTTTGGGCCAGCTCTTAGACTTTCCAGGCTTCTGTTTTGTCACATGTAAAATGAGAGGAGCAGTTATCCTTGGGGCTTCTCCTACTTGGAAATTCTCTGCTAGATTTGGGGCACAGTGGGGCTGTGTGGTCCGAATGCTGGCGGAATGCTGTGGGTAGCGGCTTTGGGGGTGAAGGTTTCAGGAGCTTTCAGGAAGCCTCAGTTGAAAGGTTTTTAAAGGGCCCTTGTGCATGGAGGTCCAAAGGGCATGAGTAAGCCCTGGGGGAAACTTACACAAAAATGGCTGCAGATTTGGGAGGCAGTAGATTGTCAGGTAGAGGCCTGGCTCCATGGCAACTGTGTGCCTAGAGGCTGGTGCAAGTAACCGAGCTTGCTAGGCCTTGCTATTATCCATTACCTTCTGCAAATGAGGAGGCTGAAGCATTGCAGGGATGTCATATTGGTGAGCATTGCTGATGCAGAGAGAGGAGTCCAGCCCCGGAGCCACACGCTTCCTGCTTGGTCTTCCATCCCAGTAACAGCTAATTTGGCAACTCAGTTGCCTGCAAAAATAACAGACCTTATGTATTTGTCTGTGCACCAGCCCGTTTTTTGTTCTCTCTTTAGCTCCAACTTTAATACTAATACTTACTCATAATATGAAATACCTAACTTAACTGAAGACACATTTACTACTTAGAGACCAATAATATTGGTTTGAATGTGTTGCTAAGAAGACATGAATAATTTCCTGAAAAATTATGCCTGGGGTAGTTGCATAAGTAACAGTAATTAAGCAAATGCCTGAGATAATTATTTACCAATTATTAATTCAAAGTCTATTTTTTCTCTCTCCACTTTAGATGTACTTAATTATCATATCTATGAAAAATGTTAATAGAAAGATGTATATTTAATGAGCAACTATTAAGGATGTCATTTGACTTAATGCACTACTTTAAACAGTTTATCAACTATCATGCTTTTATAAATAACAATTTTTAATGCAAGGACAAGGGAAATAATTCACCTATTTTTTGCAAATCACTTTGTTCAAAAGATTGGGTCAGGATAGTAAAAGCTGGAAACATTCCTTGGCAAGTGGAATGGGGAAACTGAGATAGAGAGCTGGACAAACTGGCCAAGCCACTTACAGCCAGCCGGAGAAGGTCACCACCCTAGAGATAACATCTAGGCCTCTGTTGTGTTTCAGATCCAGGCCCAGAAAAGCAGCAAAACCAGGTGGGCAACACCAGGACCAGCTGCAATGACTAAGGCGCTGACCAAGCCGTAGAGACCATGACCCTGAAAGGGCACACCTGGAAAACTGATGAGTATTCTGCTGAAACCCTCCCTGAGACCGCCCCTAAGATTCCTGCCTGCAAGAGACAGGTAAAACCCTCAAAACCAAGGACCCAGCATGTGCTCTCCTTCCTGGGAGCACGCACAGTCTTTCTCTTCCCCTTCACCTTCCCCCACTGGCAGCATCTCCAAACGCTTAGGGTCCCCACAAGACGAGGAGCCAGGGAGCAATGGACAGCTAACCCCTGAACCTGTCTCCAAGGCTCCCTTTTCTCTGACTTCCTAGTGAGGCAAAGAGGCCATCTCGTCCTCTCCTGTTACTTCCTCTGCACTAAGCACTTCCTTGTCTCACTGTCCCCAGCTTTAGTAAGCGTACCCTCAAAATCACCTGGACTTGTGAAATCTTGCCTGCACAAAATCAAGAAACGACACAATACTGGCCGGCCCTGGGCAGACCTGATCGGGACCAGGTCCCCTGTCCCTCAATAATATTTTGCAGGCAAATTTGACCCCATGCAACTCCCTGCACCACCCATCAGACACGTTTTCAATGTAACATCCACATTTATTCTGTAAGCGTTGGAGTGACACTCTTTGCGGAGCACAGGGCCGGGCACCGAAGTGCTGTAGAATTGAGAATGAGCACCTGAGTGCTTTCTGCTTTCATCTCCCTTTGAGAGCTCTTTTTATCCTCAAGGTTGAAGCTTTCAAGAGCTTGTCTTTTTTTCAAGATTTTAAACTCTGTGCAGACAACTCTCAAGTCAAGGTTTTCAGCCCTGGAGCCCTCTAGGCCCACATCCCCACTCAGATGGGTATTCTACCTGAAACCAAACTCATATCTAGGATGGTCTTAGTCTGGAAGGCTTCTTTTGCTTAAAATGTGGGTGTGGCTAGGGGTGGGGAGAGGGGCAAGGGAGGTGTTTTGGTAGGAGAGCAACCACAGAGAATGAGGAATAAAAGTGTGTGTGTGTGTGTGTGTGTGTGTGTGTGTGTGTGTAGGGGGGCGGGAGGTGCAATGCCCAGCTCTCGGGGACCCTTCAGACTGGGAGGAGGGAGAGAGAACTGAAGCCATTAGCACTTGTGTTTGACTGAAGAAATAGTGGGTGGCGTCAGTGTACAGATGGATTGAAAGGAGAACAGGCAAGGGGTTCAGCTAAGGGGCTGTTTTAATATAAAGTGTAACATAATGATAGCATTGATTAAATGACAGACCATTTTAATCCTTTTGGAGGAGGAGAGGATCATAGACCCTTTGAGAATAGAATGAAAACTTGGGAGGTCTTCTCCCCAGAAAAATATGCACTCATTTACTCAGTAAGTGATGGCACTATGTATAATTCAGGGGACCCAGTGGGTGATGAAATAAATGGGTTTGGGATCCCCAAAGGAAACAGGAATATTTGCACAGTGTAGCTGATAGAAGTCAATAGGAGACTTGGAAAAGGAAGTCAGTTGGGAAAGAAGGGAACAGGTTTTGTTTCATACAACAGGACATGTGGACACGTAGAGATGTGCTTTCGGCAGCTGTACAGGTATCTGGAGCTCTGAGAGACCTGGCCACATGGCTGGCGGAGGAGGGGGGGCGGGGGCGGAGATCTGAGTCATTCGATTCAATTGCAAGAGTTTACATTTTGAGAATGAATGACCTTCCTGGGTTAACAAAAAAAGCAGAAAGCAATCAATAAATAAAGGAGGCATAGCCCTAGCTGGTTTGTTTCAGTGGATAGAGCATCGGCCTGTGGACTGAAAGATGGGGATTCGATTCCAGTCAAGGGCACATGCCCGGGTTGCGAGCTCGATTCTCATCATTGATGTTTCTATCTCTCCCTCTCTGAAATCAATAAAAATAGATTATAAAAATATATTTTTTACAAATAAAAATAATGGAAGTAAACAGTCCTTCAAGAGTTTGGGATTGCTGTTGCAAAAACCATACATAAAAAAAAATAGACACCAGGTGAATTCCTAAGTAAATCATTTCATTAATATTTTAAGCTTAAAAATCAAATGCAAGTTGCAAGAATCAGATCAGGTTAGAAGCTGACCATTTAAAGTGATAGTTGAAATAAGCTTAAGGTGAACAGGTACATCAAGATGGCTAAACTTTTCACAGTCGTTTTCATGGTGTCTGTGTGTTGCCATGGCAGCAGTGTAAGTCCACATAACGTGCCTCTGTGATTCTGGCTCTCTGCCCCATCACCTGAGCTGGCAGCTGAAGCAGCAGGACCTTGACCCTGGAACCTGCACTCATGGGGCTCCTGGAGATTGATCTCCTGGGAACCGAGGTGTAGACGTAGACTGCTCTCCCAGACGAGAGAAGGGAAATGATATGGGTGGTTCCCAAAACATCCAGGCTGCTGCCCACTATATTCGAGAAACTGGCGCTCTGATGTTCAGCTTTGGGAATTCACTAATTCTTCCAACTGGGGCAAGCGGCACACCTATTCCAGAGACTGCGGTGGGACATATCCCTGAACCCTCCTTCGGTCACTTTCCCAGCCTGTTGCCACCTTCCCCCAGGGTCTGGTGGTCCCTGGACTGCGTGGGTCCACCTGGGACTGAAGACACTACAGCAGTGATGGCGAACCTTTTGAGCTCGGCGTGTCAGCATTTTGAAAAACCCTAACTTAACTCTGGTGCCATGTCACATATAGAAACTTTTTGATATTTGCAACCATAGTAAAACAAAGACTTATATTTTTGATATTTATTTTATATATTTAAATGCCATTTAACAAAGAAAAATCAACCAAAAAATGAGTTCGCGTGTCACCTCTGACACGCGTGTCATAGGTTCGCCATCACTGCCCTATAGCCACGAACGACCCTGGAACTGAACACTAGTCCTGACTTCTCAGAACCCATATTCTATTCACTACAATGAGGTCACCACAGCCAGGTTCTAAAGATTATCCCTGAATTATCGGGGTATTTCTGGGGACCATGATTTTTTTTTTT